TCCAGCATATATGCTGTATTTTCTATGCCGTAATCCACCTTGATTAATTTATCTTTGAATTCTTTGAATTAAATATATACACTGTAAACAATATATTATAATCTTTAAAATAAGTTTAAATAGTGCTATTTTTTGCTCTATTTTAATCTTGTCTGAGAATTATCTTTATTTACACTAATCCTTTTCCATCTGGCCCACGCGAGTTCGCAATGCTTACGCCTCTGTTTCGCCTTGATCAGGATGATGCCCTGTTTATTGTTCGTCTTCACGTTCCAATGCTTAAGTTATCTGATATTGATGTCTGTATCGATGACGGAGAGTTTTATTTTCACGGAACTCCTTACTTTTTAAGGTAATATTTGATATTTTCTTTTCGCAAGATTTAAGCTGCCTGGACAAGTTTGTGAAGAAGATGATAAAATGAGGTTGACTTTTGATAAAGGGGATTTGACAATTACCTTTCTTAAGCGTATATATGGTGCTTTTTTCCCCGACATTAATATCATAGGAAAGCTGATTATACACAACAAAAAATCTATTCCTATGATACATGAACTACCTGATCCTTCTATGCCTGGCATAACTGATTCAGATTCAGAATTAGAATGGGACTCTAATTTAGCATACACCTCTGATAAACCATACACCCATCTTGGACAACCTGTGCCTACATATGGATTTGCTGATTCTAAGTCAAAACTTTTTCTTGAAGAGGTAAGTATTTATGTACTTCTACTTTAAAGTATTAGGCTAATTTGGGGCTTATTATAATATTTCTTATTTGTTTATGTATTGCTATTATATATCTAAATGTAATTTATATAATTATTTAGAACATTAGGAGGATTTATACGTCTTGATTTTTTATTCACGCTATTACGTAAAGAATCTAATTTTTAATTTTTGAACTAAATTAAAATGTAAATGGTTATAATTTGAGTTTTTATACTTGATGTCACTAACTGCTCAGATTTCCTATTATTTTCTATAGAGTGACCTGTCATATGTAATAGATTTACCAAATCCGGATATAGTTGAGCCTTGTAAACGGAACCTTCTTCG